GTTCTACGCTCAGGTGCTTTGGAGAATAGTTTGACTCCCTCTTCTTTGTGGCATACCCTGAGATATTGGAACACTGCTATCATGTCTATCATGTATCATATTCTTTATGATATTAACAGATGTTCTTCTGACTATAATGTGAAAGTGAGAAGAAAACTTTCAAGGGTGAGGAAAAATGCTCTTGCTGTAGTTTATTAAATCTGATTGTGATTCTGACAGTGTAGTTAAAACAATGGGTGTTCCCATAACAACATGCTAAGACATGGCCTTTATAATTTATAAACCACAAGAGCTTGGTCCATACAACACACTCAAGTTACAAAGCGAACTGCTACCGGTACATTTAAAAAAATATAGTTCATACTCTACTCTTTCTAGTATGTATTAACTTTTTAGATTTTTTATTGCAATCCTGTGTGCTGCTGCTTGATTTTGAATGAAGTATGGTTGGTTTCTATGATTTGAAACGGAATGAGAATTTTCGTTGCTTATTCATGTGTTGCTTGATTTCAGGAAATTAATTAGAATAGTCTTTTTTAAAATATAAGACCTGTGTGAAAAACTCTTGGGAGATACTATGCTAAAAAAACAACGAATGAGGCATGTTTTTAAAGGAAGAGACATGAAAGCTACTGGGAGGAGCAGAAAGTATTATATTGCAGAGTTGCGTGGGGAGTTATGCTAATAGGAATATGCAAAAAAAAGTGCCTGGTGCAAAGTTGAAGTAAAATGATTGCAGCAGAAGTGAAACACATGATGTGTACAAAGAGAAAAAGATAATTGCAAAGAAGGTATATCGAAGAAGCAGGTAAGATTAAAAGAAATGCCGGGTGATTTTGATGGAAATAAAAATTTGTTCGGGCATTAGCTGAGGAGTGCTAAATAAAAGAGGCTGATTAAATGAAGTAATACAGATGTAAGAGAATGCTAAAAGATTTTAGAAAAATGTGGGAATAATAGTATTATGTCAAACAGTGGAAACAAATGCTATTAATGCTCGTGTTCAAGAGAAAAGTTATGAAAAAATATGCAGTGAGAATGTTGGAAGTTGTAAGGTACAGGTATAGATAATAAAAACTGAAGAAAGTTAAAATAAAGGTATGGTTTGCTTACAAAGTACCAGTATGTAATGCAAGTTGCATAACCATAAGTAAACTATGTCTCTATTTTATGTGTGTGAAGCTGTACCTGATGACTGAAGAATGCCATTATTGTTCTTGTTGTACAAAAGAAATGATAACAAACCTGAAGTTATAGAATCCATTTGTCAAATGTATTAAGAAAACTGTTTGGCCAAATTTGGATTGGAAGGGCGTGAGAAGTAAAAACATTTGTCATGTACCTTTATGTTGTCAGATCAGATTGTTATCTTTTAGCAAGTCGGTGAGAAACAAGCTTACTGCAGATTTGATGACTTAGAGAAAGTGTATCATAAAGTAAACTGGCCTGAATTATGGAATCTTTTTGTGTGAATAAGGACTTGACATTTGATTGTGACGGAAATAAACCATAGGAAGGACTAAATGGAAATGCCCCTTGTGTATGGTTCAACGTGGAGCAAGCAAGTAAGTCAAGGATGTGGGATGTCCCCTTGGTTGTTTAATTTACTATACTCATGCCAAAATGTCTGAGGAACACACATGTTTTGCAGAGGTGTGTTTGTTGGGACCTGAAAGTGTGTGTAGTTTCATCTGCAGATGGTACAGGTAGTCCTCGACTTACAACCAGAATTGAGCCCATAATCTTTGTTGCTAAGTGAGACATTTGTTAAGTGAGTTTTGCCCCCTTTCTACGGCTTTTCTTGCCACGATTGTTAAGTGAATCATTGCAGTTGTTAAGTTATTAACATGGTTGTTAAGTGAATCTGGCTTCTCCAGTTGACTTTGTTTGTCAGGAGGTCGTGAAATCATATGACCCCAGGGACACTGCAACGGTCATAAATGTGAGTCAGTTGCCAAGCGTCTGAATTTCTATTGCATGACCACGAGGATGCTGCAAGGGTTGTCAGTGTGAAAAAGGATCATAAGTCCCTTTTTTCAGTTCTGTCGTAACTTTGAACTGGCACTAAATGAACTGTTCTAAGTTGGGGACTACATGTATCTGTTTAGCAACCACCTGAGGTTACATTAGCACTGAAAAAAAGTGATGTAGGATTGAGCCTCACACTTAACAACTGTCGCAGTATTCCCATTGTCTCATGATCAGAATTTGGGCACTTGGCAAATGGCAGATATTTACAATGATTGCAGGGTCCCAGGATGGCTTTTTTTCAACCTTCCCACCTGGCTTCTGACACGAAGACCCTTCTCATGGGTCTCACATGATGTACCGTATATTTCAGGCTATATAAACACACCAGAGTATAAGATGTACCATGATTTTGAAGAGGTAAATAAATAAATAAAAGGTTTTGCATTCTGCAGGCCTCCCAAACCCTCTGCACGCCTTGTTTTTTTTTTTTAAAGGGGGGGCATGCAGAGGTTTGGGAGGCTCTTGGAGTGCTCCTGGGGCCCAAAAATGAACAAAAAATGGCCCGTTTTTTGAAAAAAAAAAGGACATTCAGAGGGTTTGGGAGGCTTGTAGAGTGCTCCTGGGAGCTGGGGGAGGCAAAAATGAGCAAAAAATTGCCCCCTCCAGCCCCCAGGAGCACTTTGCAAGCCTCTCAAACCCTCTGCAAGCCCATTTTTGCAAAGGGGGTGGGTTTTCGGGAGGCAAAAAATGCCGTATTCAGTGTATAAGATGATTTTCACCCACTTTTTTGAGGGAAAAAGATGCATCTTATACTCTGAAAAATACAGTACCTCTTTAGGGGATGGGACCCACAACATTCCTTGCCTCCCCACTCTAGTGGCTCAAGTGGATGTGGAGGTCTCAAAATCTGCCTTTTTAAAAATTTCTGGTCTTTTTGTTAGATAGTAGGCTGGACTGCAGAATTGCATCTTGGCTATTGTTGACCGTTTTCATTTCCTTCTCTAACCTGCCTATTTTTGACCTTACCTTTGGCCCATCCTGCTAAGTTGCGTATTTCCCTGGCAAGATTTATGTGGCCACTGGGTAAATAGCTTTGAGCTAGTTTCTGATTCACCTGCCCAAAGTAAATACATTATAAATAGGCAAAGCTCTTTTCAGATTAGAATATCCTGATCTGATTCCTGTAGTGCTTCTCACTCCGTTCATGTGGAAAAGCACATTGCAGTGGGTTCATTGCAGGTAACACTCAAGTTACGGGCATTTGTTTGGTAACTGTTTGAAGTTACAATGGCACTTAAAAAAAAGTAACCTGTGACTAGTCCTTGCACTTATGACTATTGTGACATCCTCATGGTCATGTGATCACAATTCAGGTGGTTGGCCACCAGGCTGTTATCTATAACGGTTGTAGTGCCCTGGGTTGTGTGATCACTGTTTGCGACCTTCTCCAGCTGGCTTCCAACACAAAACCAACGGGGGAAGTTGGAAGCTTAATGACTGCATGAGTCATTTAACAACTGCAGTGATTCACTTAATCATGTCCAAAAAAGGTCGTACAATGAAGCACAACTGACTTAACAACCATCTTGCTTAGCTTAGCAATGCAAATTCCGGTCCCAATTTTGGTTGTGAGTCAAGGACTACCCCGTACATCTGTTAGCAAGATGTCTTCCTGTGATAACATTGCAAGCACAACGGATTTGTGTTGCTGGAAGTACTTCTTTCCCAGTATTAAAGAATGCGAGCATCTCTTGTGTTTGCGTTGTTTTGTTCACTACAGTTCCACTTTGCATTTCTGCCAGTTCCCTTGTAATGTTCAGAAGTTTAAAATTATGGCTGAATGGACATGATGGAAGACTACACTGTTCTAATTTATTTAGTGCCTTCAAGTCTGTAGAGATTCTCAGCCATTCAGGTCCTGGTTGTCCCAAAGGTGCTTTTTCAGGAGGCAACTGGACTTTCTTGTTTTTTCTTTGGAAGACCTTTCGCTTCTCACCCAAGAAGCTTCTTCAGCTCTGACAGGAAGGTGGGGAATGGAAGGATTTTTATTCCTTGCAGTTAGGTGGTCATTTGCCTCCTTTTAGAGGGTCCTTGAAGCACTTGGAGGTTTATCTCTGTCCTCAGGGTCACCTGAGTAGTGCAAATGGTTCCTGTAATCTGCAGTTTTTTTCCTCTGGAAATCCATTCTTACTCCCACACCACTCGAAGGGTGCTCATCCCAAATTGTATGGCTACAGGTTTGTAGATATTCTCAGCCATCCAGCTCACAGTTGTCCCAAAAGTGCTTTTTTTCTCAGGAGGTAACTGGATTTTCTTCTTTTCCCTTTTGAAGACCTTTCGCTTCTCATCCAAGAAGCTTCTTCAGCTCTGACCGAATAGTGGGGAATGAAAGGATTTATATTCTTGTTGACAGCTCGTAATCTGCATCCTTTTAGAGGGTCATTGAAGCCCTTGGAGGTCAAGCTCTGTCCTCAGGGTCACCAGAGTGGTCCTCCTGGTTCCTGTAGTCTGAAAGTTTAGTGACTTCAAGTTAGCATTGACTCCTGTCAGCCAGACTAGTCCATGCAGTTTTCTTGGCAAGATTTTGGAACTGGTTCGCCATTGCCTCCTTCCTAGGGTCGACAGAGAGTGACAGGCCCAAGGTCACCAAGCTAACTTTGTGCAATAAGGCAGGACTAGAACTCGTGGTCTCCGACTTTTTTAGCCTGGGGCTTTTTTCCACTTTGCCAAACTGACCCGGTTTGGCCTTGCAGTTTGCCTGCAACCAGTGGAATGATTGTGGATTTTTTTTTTAAAGTGCGAGGCAGCCACAATCTGTTTTTACTGTCATTATTCCCAGGGCCCTTCCACAGCTTGTCATGGCATTTTAACCGGAGAGCCTAAAATAGCATTGCAGGCCAGATACGTCAATATATTCACCAATATTTAACTGACCTAATGTTTATTTTTACAGGTTGCATCTGAAAAGAATATGAACGGGTGACCCTTACCCTTAAATTTTGGCTTCGTTTCCACTCGGTCTTGTCTAAAATGGAGTACGAGGCCGATCTGTTGAATCCCGAGTGACTGGATCCCATCATGAAAAATGGAGAAAAAACGGAGAAAGAAATGAGCCTGTGGATTAGGCTTCATCCGGAAAGACTATGCAGACGAGACTTTTGCTTGGCTCGGACAAAACTTTTAACGCCGTCAACTTAAAGAGCTCTTAAAAGAGCAGTTTTCCCTGAAATCAAGAGACTGGGGGTGGGGGTGGGGGTGAGAGAAAGAACTGATTAATGGAGGATCACTGGGTGAATTGAATCCATGGAAATCTGGAAATGAAACCTCCTCCTTGCCTGACCATGCAGCTTGCAAACACCTGGTTGTTTCTAACGGCAATCTTGCTCTGTGGCAAACAGCACCTGGGCACCAGGCTGGGGAATTCCTCTCACGAAAGTCACTTATGTCTCGACTGCTCTCATCTGACCCTGAAGGTGGAATTCTCCTCAACTGTTGTGGAACACGGTAATGAGTTCTTTGCAGCAAGATTTAACGCACCCTTTGGGGAATGCAAAAATGTTGTTGTTGTTAGTTGCAAAGTTGTGTCTGACCCATCGTGACCCCATGGACAACGTTCCTCCAGGCCTTCCTGTCCTCTACCATCCTCTGGAGTCCATTTAAGCTCATGCCAACTGCTTCGGTGACTCCATCCAGCCACCTCCTTCTCTGCCATCCCCTTCTTCTTTTGCCCTCCATCATTCCCAGCATGAGGCTCTTCTCCAGGGAGTCCTTCCTTCTCATTAGGTGGCCAAAGACTTTGAGTTTCCTCTTCAGGATCTGACCTTCTAAAGAGCAGTCAAGGTTGATCTCCTCTAGGACTGACCGGTTGGATGGCCTCGCAGTCCAAGGGACTCGCAGGAGTCTTCTCCAGCACCAGAGTTCAAAGGCCTCCATTCTTTGGTGCTCAGCTTTTCTTATAGTCCAACTTTCACAGCCATCCTTTGCAACTGGGAAAACCATAGCCTTGACTATGCGCACTTTTGTTGGCAGGGTGATGGATCTGCTTCTTAGTATGCTGTCTAGATTTGCCATAGCTTTCCTCCTGAGGAGCAAGCGTATTTTAATTTCTTGGCTGCAAAAATAAATAAATAAAAATGTTTGGCTCTCTCTCATAAAATGAAACTACAGAGAGTTCTTGAATTAAAACCATTTACAAGTGGAGAACTACCATTTACAGGTAGTTCTTGACTTACAACGGTTCGTTTAGTGACAGTTCAAAGTTACAAAAAAAAGTGATTTAATGACTGTTTCACATACTTAGTAGCATCCTCAAGGTCATGTGATCAAAATCCAGACGCTTGGCAACTGGCATGTATTTATGACAGTTGCAGCATCCCGGGGTCACATTATCCCCTTTTGCAACCTTCTGACAAGCAGACCCCATGGGGAAGCCAGATTCACTTAACGACCGTGCTACTAACTCTACAGCGGCAGTGATTCACTTAATAACTGCGGCAGGAGAGGTCGTAAAATGAAACTAAATAAATGTCTCACTGAGCAACATAAATTTTGGATCATAAGTTGAGGACTCCCTTTAAAGGAAAGGTCTGCTGAGAAGCACTGGACTGGCTTGTGGAGAAGAAGGCAGTTGTGTAGAGCAACTTTATCATGGCATCGAAGGGCTGATTAAACTTATTTGCAGTATATTTTTATGACTGGGAAAGACACTTGTAAGATTGTTGTCCTCAGAAGGCCAAAATAACACAACTGGCCTTGGGAGACTGTGACCTTGGCTAAGTCTAGCTCATTATTAACTACGTTGTCACAGGTGGCAAAGTGCGTGTTGTATACGATGTATGAAAACTCTTTTGTCTAAGCCAGAGATGAGTCATGGGCTACAGTATTTATTTTTCCGGCTTTCTAATCCTGGGGAATATTGAATCCCTGCTGAGAAAGGTCTGAGCCTCTGCCATAAAATGTTAGATGTTACCGATGCGTTGGGAGGTTTGCTGTGTCAGGACTCATCAGTCTTTGTGTGTGTGAACAGCAAACATATCAAGGTGTCCTCTAAATGTTGGAAATGTAACCCAAAAAATGGGCACATATTATCATATGCGGTGAACTTGTGTTAAATAAAAAAAGGGGGGGGGGAATACATAAGTGGCTAGAAAAGATGATAGGACAATATGCAGATTTTAAACCTGAACTGTTTTTATTGGGAGGTGTCTTATAAGAATTACATAGATTAATACAGGGATTCCTCGACTTGCGACTTCAATCGAGCCCAAAATTTCTGCTACTGAGAAAGTTGTCCAGTGAATTTTGCCCCATTTTACGACCTTTCTTGTCATGTTTGTTAAGTGAATCACGGCAATTAAATCAGTAAAATGTTTGTTAAGTGAATCTGCTTGTGAGAAGGTTGCAAAAGGGATCGCGTGACCCCGGGACACTGCAACTGTCATAAATACGATTCAGTTGTCAAGCGTCTGAATTTTAATCACATGACCATGGGGATGCTGCAACGGTCATAAGAGTGGAAAAAAGGTCCAAGGTCACTTTTTCCAGTGAGGGAACTGAATGGTCACTTAAACGAACTGTAATCTGGAAGAATTAATGGGAGAGTCAGTTTGGTACAGTGGTTAAGGCATCAGGCTAGAAATATGGCAACAATTGAGTTCTAGTCCTACATTACAAAGCAACAAAGATGATTAGGGGACTGGAGGCTAAAATATATGAAGAACGGTTGCAGAAATTGGGCATGTCTAGTTTAATGAAAAGAAGGACCAGGGGAGACATGATAGCAGTGTTCCAATATCTTAGGGGTTGCCACAAAGAAGAGGGAGTCAAGCTATTCTCCAAAGCATTTGAGGGCAGAACAAGAATGGCGTGGAAACTAATCAAGAAGAGAAGCAACCTAGAACTAAGGAGAAATTTCCTGATAATAAGAACAATTAATCAGTGGAACAGCTTGCCTCCAGAGATTGTGAATGCCCCAACACTGGAAGGCTTTAAGAAGATGTTGGATAGGCATTTGTCTGAAATGGTATAGGTTTTCCTGCCTAGTCAGGGGTTGGATTAGAAGACCTCCAAGGTCCCTTCCAACTCTGCTATTGTATTGTATTGTTAAATACAAAGGTGCTGGGTAACCTTGGGCCAGCCACTCTCTTGGCCCTTAAAAGCAAGCAGTGGCAAATTTCCTGTGAAATCAGCTGGGGTGGTGGAGCAGGTGTTCTGGAGCATGGTGGGGTGGGGAAGGGGAGGGAAGGCTGTCTGGAGTGTAGGCAGACATAGAAATGGTAGGCATGACTTTCTGACTTCCCGCTGGTTTCCCCATTGATTTTGCTTGTGGGATCTGGCAAGGAATGCCAGAAATTGGGATCACATGACCGCATCTCACATCCAAGCACTGAGCGTCACAGATCTTGATCAGGTGACTCCGGGGATGCTACAGGGGTCACATCTTCACAGATTGCTCGTTAGGAGCCGAGCCCTCATTTAGTGCCATTGCAACTTGGAACAATCGCTGAATGAGTGGTCATAATTTGAGGACAACTGGAGTTCATGCATCTGAAAGGATTTTTTGATACTTTGTGTATGCAACCTGACCTAATGAAAATCAAGGAGCACGTGGGTGCTGCCCAGTTCCTTTCTCTAATGGAATATGGGGATGATCTTGGGCAAAGGAGGGGAAGAGATGCTGCCTAGGAAGCAATCAGAGAAGAGAGGCAGGAGCCCTAATGTTTTAATGGTCAGAGGAAGAACTTAGCAGAGACCCTCCCTGATGGACCAAGCAGTTGATTGTGATGGCTTGTGACTTCAGTCTTGCAAGAGTCTGTTTTTATTTTATTGTTCCTGTTCCCTCTTCTCTTCCCCTTCCCCTCTTCCTTCCCTCTTCCCTTCCTTTCCCTTCCCTATAATCAATAATTCCTAACCTATCCTATCTTATCCTATCCCCTCCCAACCCAACCCATCCCTATTGTTATTGCTATTGCTATTCCTATTATTCTATTCCTATCCTATCCTATCCTATCCTATCCTATCCTATCCTATCCTATCCTATCCTATCCTATCCTATGGCTTTGTTATTTTTACAAATAACTCCA